TCTCTACAATAAATCAAAATGAGCCAGGCGTGGTAGCGCACGCCTGTAGTTCCAGCTACTCGGAAGGCTGAGGTGGAAGGACTGCCGGATCCCAGCAGGTCGAGGCTGCGGTGCCAGGAGCGGCCACTGCACTCCAGTCTGGGTGACAGTGAGACTCCAACTTAAAAAAAAATTAAATTAAAAAAAAAAATCCTACAGTAGGGGTGCTCTCTGGCCCAGAACCAGCTGCCCTAAGCCCCTCCTGAGGCCCGTAGGGCCAAGCAGGCCTGCAAAACACACAGATCACGTGGAAGGACTCAGCCTGGAAAAGCCATCTCCTCTTTTTGGTGCAAATCAAGTACCAGATGGTTCCTGCCGCCCCTGATTAGAGCTGAGGAAGCACAGGTCAGTTCCTCAGCTATCTGGGTCACAACCACGCTGGAGACTGAAAGAGCAGGACTGCTATCTTTGGTTGGCTCCTGTATCCAAGGACCTCCACCAAGAGGGATTGGATATCATCTCCTCCACCTAGAAGGTCAGGGTGCCGGGGCTGCTTCTCCCACGGCAGCCTGCTGTGGCCTGTGCCAGCCTCAGCTTTCACGGGACCATCTGCCCCAGTTGAGGGGAACCCGAATAAACCCTCTGCAGTGAGGTGGCAGTGTCATGCCAGCCAACCTTCTGAAGTGCACTGGCAACCAAATCTAAAGGATTCTGGAGTGCACCTTCTGGAGATGACACGTTTGGACGACTGGCTGGCTGGTCCATTTCTTCAAACTGTTTTCTCTAACAGGATTCCCCTTCATTTCTTCCAGGTTAATCCCAGGCAGCATGAACTCACTGCCATGAGGACTCTCTACTTTGGCCTGACCAAATACTCTTCATAAAGAAAGAGGCCATGGCCATTGAGAGGCTCTGAGAGGAGGAAGTGAGTCTTAACCTTTCTCACCTCCTGCAACCACTGACCTCAGACAAATCGCAGGCACTCAAGCACTGACAATAATTGTGACACATATAAGTTAGGATCTTTTTTGTGTGGTGCTTTAGAGTTTACAGAGTGCTTGTTACTTCACCATCTCACTTAATTCTTACAGCAACCCTTTAAGGTATTATGACTGCTCCCCGTTCTACTCAGAAAAGTATGGCTTAGAGAGGTCAAATGACTCATCCAGGGTCATAAAGCAGAACTGGGACTTGAATCCAGAGCCCAGGATCTCAAGCTTGCCCTTTTGCTGCCTCGGAAAGATACAGTCCTTGCCCTCAAGAAACTGAAAGCTCTACCAGATATCAACGAGCTCAGAGTGGGAGGCCACCCAGACTCCCAGGAGGAGAGCACATGCCAGGAGACAGCCCACCTGCTGGGCTTGCAGATCACAGTTTTGTACCAAGACACGTAAGAGGACAGCAAAAAAATGGAGACAAGCACTGCCGCTTTTGTTCAGGACAGCTGCAAGAGGGCTTGGGTGGGCCAGAACCCAGACGGGCTGGGAAGCCACTTTCCTGACTGCGATGGTGAGATGCACCGCTGCTGGTGCTTGGCTGCGGTCTGCTACAAGGGCAGGGTGGGGCAGTTCAACACCCTCTGCCCCGGCTCTTCCTCCTCTTTCCTTTGGTGAGTTTCTGTTCATGCTATGAATCACTACAGGGCAAGAGGGGCAGCTGACACGGTGCCCTCTGCCGGCCCTGCCTGTCCCACCACTGCTCACAGCTGCCCTATGCAGCAAAGGTTCTGGACTCTGGCGGCCTGTCAGAACTGCCTGTGCAGCCTGTTAGACAAGGATGTCTGCCGCACCCAGGGCTACTCACTCAGCCTCTCCCAGAGCGGGACTCAGCCCTTTGTAAAGCTCCCCAGGACCTTCCTATGCTTAATCAGACAGCGCCAGACCAGTATCCTCTGGGCAAAACCCCAAAAGTGTAGCAGTGTACGAAGGACCCTAGACATCTGTCCCGCAACTCAACTGTGCCACAAACAAGAAGCCACAACCTTTATGCCTATTTCTTAACCTTCCAGCCTCCTCGATGTAAAACAGGGTGAAAAGTTGCTGCAAAGAGTTGCCATGTTCCTGCAAGCACTTGTGTTAACCACCTACAGAAATGCCTCGGGGCAATCCCCTCGGGTCCCCTCCTGCTCTGGGAGCTTTTCTGTCCTCTCAATAAATCCTGCTTTCAACAAAAAAAAGTCTCAGCACACAAATCGCCTCCCCCGTTAGACTGATCGCCTCCCGGTCAGACTTGACAGCTAACTTGTCTCGGAATTCCCAGAGCCCGGCACCAAACGATGACTAATAAATGCTTGTTAAACGACTGTCAGAGGCCGGCCAAGAAGCCGTAAGGGTAGAGCTGGAGAGACCCGGAGAGGCGAGGAGACGGGTGATTTTAACAGTCGGCCCAGACAGTCAGCAGCCACCCGAGAAGTGCAGCTGAGTCTAGAGGCAGGCCTGTCTAGCGTCTAGAGGAGCCCTGGCCCTCCTGGGCCGCTGGGGCAGCCCCCGCTCGACTCGCGACAGCTGCTGCCCAGCACCTGT